GGTAGAGCAATTCGCTCATTCTGGTATGACCACATCAGGATACTGTGCTGTTCCTGTCATTCGTAGATGAACGACTGCGATCCGTTTCTCAGCTGGTTACACCGAATCAACAGTTTCGGTTCAATCATTTTGAACATTCGTACTCAAAGGAATTCGCGGCTAAGACAAAGATTCTCAAAATTCGAACCCGACACTTCTAGAGTTCAAAGCCATCCTATTTGTCATTATGTCCATATCGTTTGTAAATGAGTGACAAAACCTTTCGAAACTAATAGAACTCAATATTTTCATTGCTTCTGTCGCGTGAGAGGAGATTATAAAATCTGTAACCATCACCTTGAGATAGATCTGCTTGCGACGAGGAATTTGGTTATTAACTAAAATTAATCTAAGACCCCACACATTTAGGCAACTGTGTTGCTCATTATTTGGTGGCCTTAGACAAAGAGCATAAATACAACGAATAAGAGAAGCGATGAGGTGAACACCGTCTTTTGATTCAAAGATAGTTTCTGCAGCTAACCCGTGCGCATGCTGATTTGGTCGTTCAGCAGAAACGCAATAGAACAGAAGAAAAACATAAAAATGCTTCAGGCAATAACACGTGCGTAATTAATAGCAATGAGGATCACTTTACCTTCAAAGTTATGATCCAGACGGTTGCCGTAAAAATTAGACTCTCTTTTTACGAAATTACACATGCACTAGGCGCAGAAATGGATTCACCGACGTCAGAAATCCGGTTTTGACAAATCAGACATGCGATAGAGCTGCGACCATTTACGCTACTTGAGGATACATAACATTTTAGCATATCAGATCACCATATTTATCAACAGCCTTTTTCTAATCATTGCTGGATGAAAACATTTATGGGATGTTGCCACTAAACTTCGACTCTGTGATTTTCGTCAAAGCTGCATCAACCCGCTCTATGAATTCATCTTTTCGTCGACATGGAAATCTTCATGCACTTATTTTTGAAAATATGGAAATAGTAACAAATTAAGCCCTTATGACCAATCAACTGGCAAAACGTTCCGTATTTGTTATGAAGCGATTAAGACAAGCATCTTGGTCATGTTAGACAAACAAACTAAGCATAAACATAAGCATTTACTCCAGCCCATAATTTCGCGTATTGAAGCGAAGGCATGGCCAACGATGATCGGGAGGTCAGCACTGAATACATATGATATGGCTTTAAAATATGGTGTTACCATAAAACAAGGATGACACTCAGTTTTACACTAGAATCTTTATGGCCACACCCGAAATGATGGCCTCAGCATTAAGCGTACAGTCGGTTAATTCAGTCCTCCATGGTGTCTTCAATTCTAATGCAATAAACAATATGGCATAGGCGAATTACGTTTGTGACCTCATCTATTAGGTCTTGGTTATTAAAGTTGCGCATAATGTTCTTGTCCATTCGTTCATAAAGTAAACCATCCTATGTCGCTGGATATTCATTTGAATTAATGCTGGACCGCAACTGCGCGTTCAGAAAGGCACATACAGATACGCTCACATGGCAGATAATGCTTCTACATGCCCTTTTCAGAAGATTATTATGAACACTGGTCGAGAATTCCCTCGATAAGTCTTTCATTTAGTGCACTTCCTTAAGGAAAATTTGCTTTAAAAATACACACGGGGTTTGACAACTCCGGACTGCTAGCAAAAAATCTGTCAATCCAACATTCATAAATTCTATGAAGCAATCAACTCTGTGTCACTTTTCTCAAGCGTGTGGAACTTACTGCACTCGCTACTTTTCCGTGAAATGTGGTTGAAACGAGGAAAGTCATTCAATTGCAGTCACAGTGAATAGTGACTAAAGTTAAATATTACAGATATCCTACTGTATAGAACAGATAGCCAATTTTGAGTACGGACTTGAGTTAGAAAACTCTCTATGGAATATATGAATGCCGTTTCTATTTGTCATGCCATTTCATGGAAAGCTGTAGTTGTGCTTCTGAATTTAATTCTACTTACCATTACATCAAATAATTAAAATTGCTACAGTTATGAAAAACAGATAAGAAGGAATTCGTACATAACATTATACATAAGTGAAGTTCTTCATTCTCATTAGCCATGAAAATTGCTTTGTCAAGAAAATAGCAATTAATGAAAAGTTTCACGTTGTGCTGGTATTTAAATAATGCATATCTTTGAGCACGACGCAGAACTATTTATATAATGCACCACTGAACACCTCAGTCAGTGATTATAAGTCAAAAATTATTAATTTTTCAACTAAAATTCACCTTGAGCAGATGTTTATTTGGTTCAAGTGAATCAAAGCAACTTATTCCCACAAACCACGCGTTATCAGCAGATTCCTGTATCTCATGCACTTTGGCTTGATCATGCCATAACACACCATCCATCGTTTGAAAATGAAAGGCTTGCTATCCATTCCTAGGTTGCAAAAAAGAGTGAGTTCTTTGCTCGAGGGAAGTAGTCCTTAACATTAAAATTCACGCGGCGACTGGGAGTCAAACTATTTCTAAAGTGCAAAATTAGGCAAACTAAATTACACCGCTGTCCCAAAATTTAAATATCTATCATTTTTGTCTGGAAAACACTCCACTTATTTAAATTATTATGGGAACTTAGAAAAAATTGAATAATTTAAATTTTTAACCTCAACTTCAAAATAATCGGCGGTCTGACATGAATTTAAGTACATTTTCACAACTAGCAACATACTTGAAAACGTAACCTGAAACTCCGATTGATGCAAAAAGTATTCTGTAAATCTGCGAGTTTCAGTTTAAACCGCATGAAATCTTGATTTACTATTTTTCCACGGCATGACCACAATAGTATCAGTAAAATTTGTGTAATTAAATTGCAAGATAAGCTACTCAATTATATAAAAATAAAATTCTGCTTTGCAGTGTCGAAAATGTATGTTACTAAAAATTGACGTTCTATGTAACTTTCGTTTAAGCTGCATATGATTTTGTTTTGTCTATTTGACGCATATTCAGATTTGGTGAAATAGAAAACGTTTTGACATGAGTCTTATTTCATACTACATCTCTAAAATAGGGAAATTTTACTTGGACGGGTAAACTTTGTTGAAACTACAACGATAACTGTGGAGTGCGAGAACCAATTTCAACCTAACAAGGCAAATGACAATAATTGTAAACAAATCTGTTTGTCAGCTGGATGAAGTTGTTATTCACCAAGATACTCAGTATGAGTTGCTTTTCCCATATTTGCGTGTTCAGAACGTGAACGTTTAATTATGCGGTTAGTTAATCCACAATGAAATTGAAATTCATTTTGTGGTTATTGATCTGTAGATGTTCATGCACAAAGTAGTTTCATTTTCAATCCTGTACATGTAAGTACCTCGGCTATTTGAAAAAACGGACTATCATTACATATGAACTCAAATAAATCTCGAAAAGTGAGTTTCCACTTGATATCTACTCTCCAAAAAGAGGCGGAAGCATTCCTAGTAGATCGAAAAGTAGTATAAATGAATCATATCAGGAAATAGAGAGAAATAGAATTCCGCAACAGTAGGATTTTACAAGACCAGAGCAAATGGCACCGTAAATGGGAAATTGTGCGTCAGGTCGGCCCTGATATCAGAGAAGGACATTTATTGTTTAGTACTCTTAATTGTGCGGTTTGAGGTTCTGGGATTCACATCCACCTTTCAGATCATGCAAAGTATCCTTAGCATGCTTACCACCATTATTCTCCGAGATGCATTTAGAAACACAATTGATTTTAAACAGATTTTTTGAGTAGGTGGTGCAGATTGTATTTGTGTTTGTTGCTAGGCTTTGTTTGCAATATGTTAGCATTCTGTATTTATCTTATATGTATGTTATACAGATTTTGTATGTATATTAGTACTCTGCATAATTAACTCAATTTAAACAGCCGCAGGTGGTATTGAAACATGTTTCTGCAATATCTTGAAAGATGATCTAGTATTTTTTATTAACTGTTTCATCTGCTGATTTACCGACTGATTTAATGCTTTAGAACCGCTTAGTAAGGATCAGGAACCAGCTGATAACTCGTTAAGGCAAATGCAGGGGCCAGCTATCGTTGAAGGCAGTCGTCTTTCGGTTCGTATGAGCAGTACAAACAAATGGCGTAAGTAGTTTGGTGTTAACGTTATTCACATTATGTTTATATGTTTGTTACAAGGGTGTGGCTTGATTCTACACTACTGTCTGTTTCTGCTTAGACTTGAGGACTTTCTTATGTGAAATGCATATGTATTCAGTTAAGAGTTTCTTATATGTTCGTGCTAAGAGTCATTGGGCAACCCAGTGTACATGTACAACACTGGCGTAAGCCAGTGAATAGAAGATTGGGTCACTTAAAAGACTGATTTGTTGGTTCAGTCGGTTGAAAGACGACGGGCTAAAATCTCGGTCTAGTCTCTCGCATTCATTTTTAGCTGGCCTCTTCCGAACGAGTGCCAAAGAGAGCTTCTATGAACCGCTGCAGCGAAGTCCCAACCGTTACCTTCTTTGTGACATCCAGGAGGAAGGCTATGCAAAACATGGAATAGACAGTTTCCTTGACTCCACCCACCGACTACAGAACACCTTTTTGCCACTCTCGCCCGAGGCTACGGTTTGTAATTCTTTAGCATAACCGTCTTTATGTAGACCACGTAACGTGATTAACCTGTGTCTAAAAAGAAAACATAAGATTACGATATGATCTTTCAGTGGAACTCAGATGTAGCTTTCAGAAGTAGTTAGCTCCATAACAAACAGGCCAAACAATCGGTATTCTTTTTTTAATGAAGTGTAAAGGAGATCGACATCCGAACTTTAGCCAAACTGACGAGCTTTCGATGCGTAGTCTGGACGAAAAGCTCATAGTCTTTTATACGCATAAAACTTGTCACTACGTTATGGTGGCGTGTCCTAATGTTCTGTTCTTCGACACTGTTCATTTCTGAATTGAATTTGAAATTTTTTATGTACTTTCAGACATCGCTGAAATCTTAGCTGTGAAAGAAACCGAAGACAATTTTCTTTACTATGTTCATTATCCAGACTGTAAGTCTTTTATTTTCGGGCTTTTCATGTTTTGCTATGATAAAAATTGTAGTTAACAAGCGGCTCGACGAGTGGGTTGACAAGGAGAACCTGGACTTCTCTACGCTGCAGCTGCCGAAGAAAGACTACAAGTCATCGGTTGCGCGTGACACAGCCAGCGTATCTCGCGGAAGCACGCCAGAGCGCGATACGGTAATTTCTGTTTGCAAATTGAATCTCTGTCTTAAATCACTGCGTGGTCAAAATGAAGGAGGTTACATTGTAATTAGCAGAAATGAATGACTTACGTAATATCAGAGTTGGCAGCCATAATACTATGTAGTCATATAGGCACTCTTTCGACCTATGATCGCAAGGACAAATCCATGTATCTGAATGTATTTTTGTTCTTTGAGGTAAATCAACGCAAATTAACTAAACCATAGCTACTTCCAAG